AAAGTTTCCTTAGGTGCCGTCACTTCCGGTACACAGAGTGTTGACCTAACTTCGAGTTATGTACTTTTGTAGCTGGCTCTATCTCCTTGTTCAAAATTCCAGGGAAAATTTGACGAAGTGTTTTTCGATTATTTGAATCAACTCGATATCTGAGTGTCGGTTCTTCGAACAAGTAACAACTTTGTCATCTTTTGAATGCAGTCAGTTGCAAATCAAGCTCACTGTTCTAAGTCTATGATTCCCAGAATCGATTGGTTGATTGAAAATTAATTCGGAATTGATTTCGGACTGTTATCAATTGAACAAGTGACAGTTTTCTGTCATTGGTTTTCTTCCAAAGCAGATTATTGCAAATCAAGGTCCTCATTCAACTTTGTGTTCCGTTTTACTTCCGTTCTATACTCCGTTTTTCAATGGTGCATTTAAGCCAGTTTTTGGTTGTGACTGATATAATTACTTTTTCATATTAATTTTGGGATGAGAGAAATTCTCCTAAAATTTGAACCATATGAATTACTCTATCTTTAACCAATGTTCGTCACAGGAAAACTCGATCGCAACAATTCTGTTTTTCTTTCAAAACGCGAGTTTTCTTACCATAACAAAATAACTGTTTCAATAATACAAGTACAAGCAATACTCTGTAACGAATTACAATCAAAATTTTCGTTTAACCACAATCGGATCACATGTTTCTTCATGATGATCATATCATGTGGGAACTTTTTCTGGGAAATACCATTGACAAATTCCAATTCGCGACAAACATATATCCTGTCGATTAATACAGGTTCAAACCAAATTACATATTTACTTCTAAACAAAATTTTCACCGAAGAACACATTGTTCCGTCATTATTATCGGATTGTATCATTCGTTATCTACAATCACGTAACATTGACATTATCAATTAACGACAAATAATTTGTATTGTTTTTCTTATTCCGAAACATTTTCATTTAAGGTGACCTCTGTCCTCTTTAAAAAGAGAGAAAGAGCTCTCCTTTTACAGTTTATACTTTATTTGATCCGAGTCGGCAGCAATAATATGTTTCGACCTTTGGTTTGGGGAAATGATGTAGTTACGTTGTAAACAGTGTCATCTTAGGTTCTGTCTTCCAAAGGGAACCTTATGCTACTACTCTTTGGACTTTATGATATTTTTTTGTTCTAACTTTCCTTTTTTTTTCACTCGCGCGCAATTATATACCTCTTATAATTTAAAAGATCGCGTTTCGTCGCGCTGCATTATTAAATTTTAAAGTCGTTTGCGTTCTCCTTTTTCTGTTAATCTCGCAAAAGGATGCAAAATTTTCGCTCCTACCAACACCAAAAAGCCAGTGATTTCATGCGGATTATTTGGGTTTTAATGCGCGTTTCTACTTTCCTATTTCCACAAAATATAACAGCTACTTTATAATTTCTTCTTGCTATTTCTACAAAGTCTTCTATTAATTTCTTCTAATTAAAATATTCGTCCGCTCGCTTTTAAAACGGATCAGACTCACAGAAGAGCGCAAAGAAGTGATTCTCTGCTTCCTCATATTGATACTCATAAGCAAGTGTTTCGCGTCGATTATAACTTTTTTTTTTTTTACATCGCATAATCCTTTTTCTGGATCTACAGAATTTATTCTATATTTCTATTAGTCGGTCTATTTTTACGGAGTATTCGATATATTTTCTA